GTTGATGGGCTTTCAGAAGATCCTGGACTTCATTTATAAAATAAGAACAGAATTACTGTTACTGATAGGGACTTTAAAAAGGGAGTTCTGAAATATCTCACAGTATAATAAACACCTTCCCCCATTCCTTCAATCAAAAATATTTTTGCACACCTACTGTGTGCTTGCCTCAGTGATCAAATTGGGTCTTATAGCGGGGAACAATAGGTATGGCCACAGCTGGGATGGAATTTATAGTCTTAGGGCTGGGCGGGGGAGGGGAGGAAAGGCAGACAATGAACAAGTAAAAAAAAAAAAAAAAACAAATATAATTTTCTGTAATGTTATGGATCAAAATAGGTGTCTTTGGTGGATTTCTCTAATGTGATGGATTATAAATGACAAGGAAGGTTCTTATTGGCATCCATGCTTAAATTCCACCAATTAACCTTTGGGAGGATTTCCATTCACTGCATTGATTTGCTGTGCAGAGATTCTCAGAGGGTATGAGTTACCATCTGACTACTAAGTACACTTAGAAATAACATCAGTTCTTTTATGATCTTTGGCCATAAGAGATGTCATAAGGAATAATGACTTTAACTCATTCCAAAGAAATATCAAGTAATTGACCATTGGAGTTGGAACAATTTTTGCCATTTGACTGAATATGTATTTTCCAAACGCTTTTCTGTGAAGTAAATGTTTTTCTAATTAGGCTTAAAAATGTGAAATTTTGTTGCAAAATTGATTTTCTATTAAGGCAATAAAGTAGTTTCTCTACCCTTCTGCTTGGGTACTAATTAAATTATGTTCCAACTAGCTTTAATTCAGCAATCAATTTTTTTTCCCATTTGCACTGGATTACCGAATCTCATTTAAAAACCACTCTTTAATGAATTCTACACAAAGCAGAGGTGATAGACTTATTCTCTAATGGAGGAAAAAAATTACTTGTTGAAAGTAAAAAGAAAAAAGGCTCAGTTGTTTTCTGGCAGTATCTATTTCTTATGTTGTTTTTAGAGATAAGAGGTAGTAGTGGAGGTTAAAATATATAAATTAGGGACAAAATACAAAAAATACATAAAAATTAGGGATAAAATGCAAAAAAAAAAAAAAAAAGGAACTAAGGGCTTTAAAGATACCTGATGCTGGGGTGTAGAACTGAGACAATTTCTAAAATCATAAATAAAATTTAAGAAGAAAAGACAAATGGAATTATAGCCATTGATTATAACATTTGAAGTAATTAAGCAGTTGTATCAATTTAATGGACTATTGTAAAAGTATGAGGGCTGCGTTCAGGTTTGACCTGTGGGCGGCATCAATATTTTTTGAATGATTAAAAAGAAAATCTCAAAATGTAGCCTGAGGTTATAATAGTAGAAACATTTTGCAAATGGGTGATTAAAAAGCCTTTTGTAAAAGGATGATTTTTGAGGCCCTATACTAAAAAAAGGGAAAAAAGAAAAGCTTTATGTTATTGTCTCTCCACTCAGAGGATGTACATTTTTGTTTTAAAGAAACAAAAATAAGAAAAAGGTCTAGTGGTCTGTAAAGTCAAATTCCATCTTCATCTGTTAGAAGGTGGAAGGGGAGACAACTTGAGTGAACTTAAACCAGTAAGGAGGCTTTGACTGTGTCAGAGAAACTTACCAAGTCAGAATGGAAACCTGACCAGAGATGTTTTCCCTAGCGGCTAGAATCTAACAGTGGGAGCCCTGTGCTTGTTAGGGCTCTTCCTGGCATAGCTTATCTCTTTCACACACCTTTACATTTTCAACATGTGCTTGGTAACTTCCAGATAAGGCTATTTCCCCTTTTTCTCCCCTAAACTGCTTGCACATTTAGCTGATCACTAAAATAACAAATTTTTAACTTACATAATTGCTTCATTATCTTATGACCTTTATGATTTTTAACTTTCTGGCAATAAAGCCAAAATCACAGGGTTGGATCTCAGCGGGTTGGATTTAACTTGTTAAATCCAAGTGCCAACCTGAACCAGACTACTGTGATGAGTGGCTCGGTTTCTAGATTCCAAAGCTGTTTCTTGAATTCCCTTTCCCCTCACTTTTCGTAAATACCTTTCACTTTTTATATTAAAAACAACACTTAACACTGTTAGATAAAAGGAAAATGAAAATCATGAACAGAATTGTTCATGTAAAATGGAAAAACAGTGTCTTTAAAATTGTGAGAACCAGAGTAAATCTGGACTACAATTTAGTCATACAACTGTAATTTTCTGCAGTTAATGGACAGTAGCACGAAATAATTAGAGCATATATCAGTGAGAATAAGTAATTATTCAGGTACAAAAATGTGATTGGAAGCTTACTTCATTTATTATGAGAAAGTTTACACCTGGTTGTAGTCATCTAGAGATATTTCATAAGCTAGACATCTGTTTTATGAGGCTTCCTATATCATGATAAAAGGATATAGTCACTCAACTTCAAACTAAAAATTCCTATTCCCAAGTAGATATCAAAGAGGAAAGGCTCAAGAGTTTCAAAATGTGGTTGTAGAATTATTTCCCATTAAAAACTTGCAGAGACATTCAGTAAGTAGAATGGTGGTGAGAAAAAGAAGAGAGAAGTAGATTTGGATAGAGGGAAAAGGCCAGATTGAATAGGGAGGTAAAAACAAAGTAAAAGAACACAGAAAAGATTGGCCAAGAAGAAAGAATGGGAGATCTCTTGCTCATTGCTCACTTACCACATCCCAGGCTCTCTGCTGGGCACTTAATACTCTATCCTACTTAATCTGTAAGACAAGGGGTAGATAATGGTAAAACACTTTCTAGATCAACAGACTGAATTTTAGAGAGCTTAAGTAGTGTGCCCAAGTTCTCTGATCTGGTAAATGGACTTGTCAGAATTGAAACCCAGGAGTGTTTGATTTTCAGACAGGACTTTTTCCTAAAACCAGGGTCACTGACAATGAGTAACACAAAGATTGGCATGAGGAAGGAAAAGGAGACCACACTATATACCATGAAAGCCGGAGCAGGGGCTACCCATTTCACTTTGTTTAGTACTTATACAGTTCTAGAAATGTAGTGCTATATAGTAAATATCCACATAATATTTTTGAATGAGTTGGGCTACAAAAGTCATAGATAGGGAGAGAAGACATGGAAGAAGAAAGAAGGAAATAGAAGAGAGAGAAAGAAGAGAGCAAGTAAGGGGGTGAAGAGAAAAATGTGATTCTTTTTGGTCAATCTACTCTGTTAGAGTCTAGAGCCAAGCCTGTCGGCCTATTGCCAAGTCTAAAACTCTGTTCATATTCAAAGAATTTTCGAAAGAGGAGAACTAGATGGCTTACATTTTCTTTATTTTTTTTTCTTAAACATTTTCTTAACTCAGGCAAAAATATTTGCCAACTTTTCAGAAACCCAGGTAAGTATGATCTTGGAATATCATACCACTTGATAGTTATCAGGTGAAGGTGAGCAGTATGAACTCTGGACAGGTAACTATAGTGAAGGATGAGTGGGTCATATTCTGATACCCAACAGGCTAACCACTAACCATTCAGCTAATAAAAAACCTTTCCATTAATAAGTATTTGTTTTAGTCTCACTGTGCACCCCAACTGCAAGGAATTTATAAAGTAAAACATTTCAACAAAATATAAAAATTCAATGAAATAGCTCATTACTTTGCTCAATAATTAGAAACATTATGATCAAGTGATTATTTTCAAACATGTTGGATTTAATATTGATACTAGTGCACTCAAAGAGAAGAACTACTTATAAAAATAACAAAATTTAAAAACTCAATATTATCCTTATGTGGTTTTTGAATAATATCCACAGTGGGGCTAAATTGATCTCAGTATCCACGAATCTAATTCTGACTAACATACTTGGTTAAGTTATATATTTTTCTTTCCAAAAGGAAAGCAGAGCTCAGCTCAAATACCTTTTATTCCTTTTTTTACAACCACATAATAATTTTAGAGCACTAATAAGATTCGATTGCAGTACAGCAATCAACAAACCTGTTCTAAAACCTCACTGAGTTACATAGGTCATAGAAAATCTCAGATTGAGAGGGCTCCCAGGTAATGGGCTTGGCTGAATTTCTCTGAGGGCTTGGGCCTCTATTTCATCTCCCTGGTGGCCCCAAAGGGATCACACTTGACACAATCCTAGAAATCCTGAAGGAGGCTGTTGACAATCCCTTGGGCTTATAATCACCCAAGGGATGGTCAGGACCCCAGAAATGGCTGGAAAAGGAGTTGCTTTAGGAATTCAGAGAAGTTAGAGTTGTTTGCCTTTCTGATATTGGCCTGTTGAAACATTTGCACAGAAAAACACTAGGCAGGCATAGCATAATCAAATAGAATTGATTATTATGTAGTTTAAATGCACTAAGGATATTGAACTTCCCTTTTTAAATCACAGAAAAATTCTGGGCTGAACTGTTAAAACTGGGGAAAAAACAATGTGAAGAGTACTCTAAAAATGTGAGTCATTTAAAAAATGGATTTAATATCAGCCTTTGTGAATTATATTTGATGTTCCACCCATCATACTCCGATATCTGTGGAGAAACAATGAACGGTCTGTGATACGCAGACATAATCAAGGGGAAAGTGCTATTTGATTTCTGTTTAATAGCTACATAACCTATGTAGAAAACACAAAATGATTGTGGAAAAATACAAAGAATAAGATGATTTTTCACTGTCCTTTTAAAGAAATAGATGTGTGCGTGTCTGGCATTTTGGAAGCTTTCTGGAAGCAGATAGTGGGCGTGTGTGTGTGTCCAGGGAATTATCTATAGACACAGCGCGCAAATCTTTCTCTTTTCTTTCAAATAAGACCCAGAAGACCTGTGTGCTTTTTAATGAGGTTGTGCTATCAATCCCTGAACCCTATTTTGCCAGCTGTCAGCAGCTGGAGGCCCACATCATCGTGTGCAGAGAGATTCTTTCAATAGGTTATTATGTGGGGAGCAACTGGCGAGTACAGCTTGTGGTATTAGAAATGCTAATGTTTTCCTTACCTCTTCCTTCTCAGCACTCTGCAGATCGCGCCATTCCTCAGTTACGTGACCGAAATCCACTGTGTTCATGGGGACTTTAAATTCCCCAATGATGTCATGCTTAGAGAAACGGTCAAAGTCATACACGGCCATCACCAGGGTCTTGCCACCCAATTCTGAGTAGGGTACCTAAATAAAAAGAGAGGAGGATAAAAATCTGGTCACAAAAATGCTGAAAATGTGTGACTTGTTCATAGTGTTTAATTTTGATACTTAGTTGGATAAACAAAAGTGGGATAATTGTACTTTTAAAAAAATGAATTTGTTTGAATAACTACTTGCAGCTAAATTGGGAGACAATGGGGACTCAACCATAGTCATCACTTTATCCTAAAGTTCTAAAAGCTATTGTATTATTGATAATGAGTCTTACTATTAGTCATGCTATAATCACCTTAAGGTTTAATAGTGTTGGCACACAGTAGGCACTTAAATATTCATCTTTTGAATGATTAGAATGATCAGGTGGGAATTTGTTTGATAGAAGAGTAAAACAAGCTAATTGCACTTGACTGTGTAAGTTTTACTTGTAGAACATTTTGTTATTGTTATCAGTTATCTTGTCAGGGTATAGTTATTTGAGGTAGAACACTTGTTTCAAAAAATCTGTTAACTCTTTCAAGCCATTTGGATGGCACAATTGAATGGAGCAGTGATTTATGAAAAGATCTGCTAGAAGTCAGAAAGGATTGAAATGAAATTCACAAGTTGCCTTACCTACTCCCTAAAATAATTTACTGATTGACAGGAACTGACTAGAAAATGGATGTTTTGAATATCAGAGATGCATTATCATATAGATCTTGAAGTTCATTCTTAGGTATGACACTTTTTAGGATGAGTTGTGGCAAAAGGCCAAGAACTGATGAATTCTCCAGCTGCTCAGATGAATCTGGGACAGATGCTATGGGTTGGGATTTTATTAGTGACATTTTTAATATTCAGGGAGAGTAGTGCCAGCTAAGTAAGCTACACTTCAGTAACTGGGTAAAAATGCCTAATTAAGAAATTGTTTAGACTTGTATTGAAGTTTTGATCAATTTTTATTTATCAGTGTAAATGATTGTCTTTGCTCCATCAGACATTTCTCTATGAATTCTGTATATTAAGGGAAGGGGAAGGAAGCATATTTGACTATGTATGTTTAAGAATTTACAGTTTTTCAGGAATTTTTTTTGTCATTTGTCATCTATTTGGAATCTGATTAAAATACTTTGATTAAAAAAGAGGAACAATACATTTTTCATTTTGGGAGGAAAAAAAACCCCTTCCCAATAGCTAAATTTCAAAGGAAGAGATGAATTTTAGAATAGGGATAACCTCCAGAAATTTCATCTTATTTCCAAAATCACTCTGGATTTTTAAAAAAAAAATTATTAATTTTTTGTGTGTGTGTGATTCTTTTGAAATAACATTAGTTGAAAAAACCTGGACTTGGGGTTAGGTAGGCCAGGGCCTGGGTTTTCCAACTTCCCAGCTGAAGGGCCTGGGGCAAGTGAACCAACTTCACACTTTTCATTTACCAAATAGTGATGATAATAGGGTCCACTTCATAGTGTTGTTTGAGGCTGAGTGAAGGAATACATGTGAGGCATTTAGCACAGGGCTGACATAGTAGGCCTTCTGTATTTGTTTCTTGAATGATTAGTAGTTCCTTTAGCTGGGAGTTCGGAGGAAAAGAAACAGCATTTAGGTTGGGGATGTCAAGTTCATGTCAAGCGGATTTGAACTCAATTTTTTTAAAAGATTTTATTTATTTATTTGACAGACAGAGATCACAAGTAGGCAGAGAGGCAGAAGGAGAGAGGGGGGAAGCATGCTCCCTGCTGAGCAGAAAGCCTGATGCGGGGCTCGATCCCAGAACCCTGGGATCACGACCTGAGCCGAAGGCAGAGGCTTTAACCCACTGAGCCACCCAGGCGCCCCTTGAACTCAGTTTTAAAGCCTATCTTCTTAAAACTGTTGTGCTTCTATTCGAACAACTTGTCCATTGGCATTTCAGGATGCATAATCTATAACATCTACTGGTGAAATTAACCATTCTCAAAACAGCATCATGATTCTTAAGTGTATCAAAATATAATATACTTCGGATCGATTTATGGTTTGATTAACATTCCTGAAATAAAATGCAACCTGACAAAATTTTATAGACAATTTAAAAATTTTAATAATTAAACACGCCTCATCAAATTTTAGGAACACATTTTTAAAATTAACATACAGGTAACTCAAAATAAACCCCCCCCAGTATTTCAAATAATTTAAGATTCTGCTTCCTAAATCGTTGTTAGAAACTCCTGGCCTAAATTAAGATTAAAATATAGTCAAATAGTATGACTGTGATTACCATTTGCAGTATTTTATTTTATTTTCATTTTGTTTTGTGGTGGATTGGCCATAGTGATTAGTTCTTCATAAGCTGAGTAGTTTCAGAATGTTTTCATTGAGACTCTAAACAAACTCTCTGGGCATAGAAAAGTGTAGTTTTTTAAGAGAAGATTACTGACAAGACATTGGAGACTTTTTTTTGTCTTAAAACCTCAAATTTCAGAGTGAAGGGAAAGACACTGCTCTTTTGTGAAATTGGAAACAGGGCTTGAGAAAATGACTTATGCCCTCAGTTTCATCCATTTATTTCCTACTCAGTATTTGCCAACATGAGGCACATGCTGTCGCAAAGGCTGGCTGATAGATGAGGGGTTCTGAATCCGCCTGCTGGCATATTCACAGACCTTTCATTTTTCAGAAATGTATTATTTTAAGTAATGCATTTAAATTTTTTTTTTTTCACATATTAAAGAGAGCTATGAAAGTGCTGTTTTTGTGCATGACTTTGAGGCAAGAGCTATGGGACTGTGTATATGCAGAGATGCCCGAGGCTCACCGAGCACGTTTCCCTGTCCAGTCATTATCATTTGGCCAGAATCTCCCTTGGTTATTGTTTGTGAACTGAGGTGTCTCAACAAGATGAAGACCATTAGGGAAGAGATGACCATTGAGGGGGAAAAAGGCTAGAAATGCTGAAAAACAAGGGACTCCTATTCTTTTTTTTTTTTTTTTAATATATACCAATTTATTTATTTTTTTTTAAAGATTTTATTCATTCATTGGACAGACAGAGATCACAAGTAGGCAGAGAGGCAGGCAGAGAGAGAGAGAGAGAGAGAGGAAGGGAAACAGGTTCCCTGCCGAGCAGAGAGCCCGACGCGGGGCTCAATCCCAGGACCCTGAGACCATGACCTGAGCCGAAGGCAGAGGCTTAACCCACTGAGCCACCCAGGTGCCCCTCCTAATTCTTTTTATTGATAGTTAAGAATGGTTTTGTTGTGCTCAGATTGGCTGTGTATACACAGAATTTCACAACGAGAGTAAAGCCAATTGCTACCATTTAAACAGTGGAACACAGTTTACTCGGTTCTGTGATAGTGATTTATTTTCAGGAACTTCGAGACTTAGAGAAAGAATGATTTCATTCTTGCTTGGGCTCTATTTTAGAGAGGGGGACATGTGCAAATCTATTGGCTTACCTAGTCGACCTCCCTTTTGAGACGTGAATGACAGTCTTGTTATCTCCCAGGCTATATTCTGTTCTGAAATGGCTGAGCCAAATCCTACTCTGACCACATCTAAATGCAATATAGAATCCTCACCGGACTGAAGTTAAGAATTTTAGATATTCTGTGAGCCTCTGATCAAGGGGCTATGTGCACATCTATGTATGTGTCAGGATGAGATTGGTCTTGAAAACCACAGAGAAGTCATTAGTAGGTACAAAAAAAAGAAAAAGAAAGAAAGAAAGAAAGAAATACCTTGAAAGTAAATTGCTCATTGAAGACAGGATTAAGGGTCTTTCGGTGGACTTTTGTCTCAAATTTCTTCTTTTTATCGGGCAGCAGAAACACTTTGACATAGGGATCAGATGTGCCCCCCATGTCTAAGGCAGGCAGCTCAGCAGCTTGGATAATCCCTACCAGCAGCTGAAATGAGAGACAGAATAGAGCAAACACAAGCATTGGTGGACATTTTGGACAAGATTGACTTGTTTGCGATGTTGCGTATGATGATCTCTCGCTTTCTCTTCTTCTTTGCTTTTAATAAACTATTTCTCTTATCAATCTAAACACAGAAGGCAAATGAAACAAGCCATATAGACTTCAGAAACCAATTATGACAGATACAGGCTCTGGGAAGCCTGATTTTAAGCACAAAAGAGGCTTTTAAAAGGTTGCTGATTACAGTTAAATATGGAATTTTTTAAAAAAATATTTTATTTATTTTAAATATGGAAATTATATTTGCAAAAGAGCTGCAATCAAATAACTTTCCAGTTGCTAAAGGCCCTCGTGCATTATTTTCCTTTCCAGGGCATGATTTGTAAGTGGAAATAAATTGTTAATAACAAGTCTGTGATTATAAAGTAGGAAATGTTTATTCTGCGCTCAAAGCTTCAGACCAGCAAAATAGGAATTTCTTAGAAATTGGGTAGCATTTTGAGATAGAAACTTGCTCATCTTATTTTTATCACATTTGACCTTTATTTGTATGCTGCCTATTTCTTATTTTAACTTACAGTAAAATTATTATTTATTCTGAAATTAAATCTAGGACATAGAGTCAAAGAAGTATAATTTCAGCTTCACGTAAATGAATGTAAAATTACAGATACGGTTTGTAATGCTAAGTGACTATGTTTCTGATTTTTTTTTTTTTTTTTCAAATACTGAGATTTTTCCCTGTCTGTTTTCTCAGTGATACATTCCTGTTTTAGGACTGTGAGTATAGGCTGGCATTGTTACTGTTTTGGGGAAGAAAATAAAACGTGTGAGTGGACTCTTCCAGATGCTCTGTCATCAGATGTTTTGTATCAACAGACTGGTTTAGATTCACATGGGAAACAAAAGTAGACTCTTAATCAAGGTTATACAAGATATATCCGTGTCAGTTAATGCAGATACATTACAGCTTTTCACATCAGGCTGAAACATTTGAGTCTGTGCCTTTTTAGCCAGATAGAGTAGAAATGCCATTACTTCCTTTAAAAAAAAAAAAAGTCACATTCATTTTCTATAAAACTGACCCATCACGTTTGTAAAAAGAGCACTTTGGCTAGTTCAGTTTTTAACCAGGACCAATGCTCTGAATGACTGATGTTTCCATTTTAATGCTCAGTATATTAGTGAGTGTCAGTAAGAGCGCTGGATTGCAGGTGTACAAAATACAGATGGTACAAGAATAGCTAAAATAGACACCAGATTATAAAGACATGATTAGTAAAGCAAACAGTTTGTTGATTTGCCAAGTTGGTATTTGGAATTTGCCTTTAGATAGCAATGTGAATAAGCAAGATTCTATTTTCTCCTTCCCATGTTTTGAAATGAATGTGCTTTTGGGCAGAGAATGCACTAGTGCTATGACCTAAACTCCTTAAGCCTAGATAACTTATATTTTAAAGATTTTTGGATATTTTGTTGATAAGGTGTGTCATTGCTTCTAACCCTCTTCCCCCTCTTCTGCTTGAGCTTTCCCTATGCCATGACAGCTTCTCATTTAGAGCACTTTAGGGTTGACATTCAGTTTCTGTAAGCAAACATGTATATTTGATTACAGCTTCATGTATAAAATTCCTCAGGCTGTATCTTTTCATGATTCAGAAGAATCAGTTCATAAATTAGATTAGCCGAGAACACTTGGAAAGATAGATGCATAGGAACTAAAAAATATTTCATCAGCTAGATCTTCTAGATTTTCAGAATGAAATACCTTCTTAAAAATTTGGTGTTTGCTAGAAGGGGAACAGTAAAAGCACTTAGTATATTTGAGTAAAAAAAAATCAGTGCTATTTTCTTAAAGATGCTTTATAAAATGATACTTAAAGTATTCCAGCTAACTTAGAAGTTTCAAAATTATGACTAACCAGGATGATGTACCACTAGATTTCTACTGGATAATATGAAAGTAGAATAAAATAGTAAAAAAAAATATATACTGGATACGTATATAAAGTCATGTTAAGTTTCTGGAAAAAATGTTACATATTAATGTTAACCCTCATCTTCATCAGAATATGTAACTATTAGGAAGTTTTGCTCTTGACCAACTCCTGATTGTCAAATTTTGGTAGCTGGGATAGAAGTGATCTCAAATGCCCTATTTAATTAACTATAAATGGTATATTTATAAATGTGTATAAATCCGTACCTATAAACTTGTATCTGTAACCAAAATGCAGCTTTCTAGAATGTATTATAAAATAACTAGTCAGGGCTGAAATGAAGCTGATCAAATAAATTTTTTTAGTATGGTAGAGCTTATCAGTACGTTCTTCATGAGGAACCCTCTGGAAATTCAAAAAGTGAAGACATTATTTAAATTGTTGATTTCTAAATAACACCCAGAATTCTGGCAACTACATAGAACTCTCACAGTGTTACTGACTTTGGACTTTCATTGTCAGAGCTGAGTATTGGTGTTTTATGTATTGTTCATTTCTCATCAACATCATTATTTCAACATCAATGAAATAATTAACACAAGCTGTATTAGAAGTAAATGTATTAACTTGTATCACTTTTTCCTCATCCAAAAAGGTGAAACAGTTAAATTCACTTTGCCAGACAAGGACATTGTCCTAAAGATTCTTAAGAGCCCCATCTCTTATTCAGCTGATTCCACTAATGCTTCTTTTTTTAAATTTATTTAAAGATTTTATCTATTGGAGAGAGCACGCACAAGCGTGTGGTGAGTGTACGCACAAGCCCATGTCATGAATGTGGGTGGGGGAAGGGCCCAAGAGGCAGAAGAGAGAGAATCCTCAAGTAGACTCCTGCCTTGGAGCACTGAACCTAATGTTGGCAGATCCCAGGACTCTGAGATCATGATCTGAGCCAAAATCGAGAGTCAGACACTCAAATAAATGAGCTACTCAGGTGCCTCTCCACTAATTCTTACCTAGCTTTTTCATTTGACAAATCAGAAGGTAAAGGGACATGGTCAATTTCATGTGTCCTAGAAGGTGTTTTGTTTTTTTTTTTAAATTATGATTATAATTTTTTTTTAATGTAGAGATTTTAAACATTTTCCTTTGAGCTACCTCTATAATGCAGTTAATAAAAGGTAGTAATATTATCATCCATCTAGGTGGCACATCTAAGTTTTTTTGAGAAATTGAAAGCAGGAGTGTTTTGTTACTGCCTTGAGTTCCTTAACAGTTTATGGGCAGCAGTCACAGGCACTAGAAATCAGTTGCTGGTCTTTCTCCTCCCCTGGGTGCTAGGAATTTTACCTAGTATCATGATAAGGCATTCCTGCCTTTGAAATTCATGGGAGGCAGCCAGTTTTTCATCTTTGATTCCTTATCAAACAGATTTTGTTTTAAAGCTTTGGTTGAATGGTGGTTCACCTCAACAAGATCGAATTCCATGAATTCCAAGGGAGATTGCCATAGCTCAGGCTGATGGGCTGATGAGAGCTGTCAGAATTGGACTGCTCCTTGCAAGTTCATTTGTATTCTGCCTGCCTGCTTAAGTGCCATAAGTAGATGTAATCGGTTGAATACTGTGAATTCTAATTATCAGAAGTTAAATTAGCAAGTAGGGGACTGCCTGCACTCCGAAATGATTTCATCAATAGCTTTGATAATTGCATTTTCCCCTCTGAGCAAACGGAATGTTTTAAGAAGTATCTTGCTTCAATTTCTACTTGGTAATTTCAGAAAACGTCATGGAATTAGAAGTCCTTTCCCACCCCCTTCAGACCTGGTTATTCTGGAAATCATAATCCAGTGAATATTGAAGTTTTCCCAGTTTCTCCTCTTCTTTGGGTTCTTCTTTTTCTTCCCCATCAGTCAATCCAGTTTCGGCATCATCGTCCTTTAGAGCCTAGGAGCAGGGAAATGAATTATATGTGAATTCAGGTGAATTCGTTGAAACCCGTATCAACCTGGGCCTGTGGTTATACTTCCAAGCTGTTAGAAGCAAGCACTAAGATGCTGGAAATCCATTTGTCTGACACACATTCACATTTGCTGCTTATACATTTTTAAAATTCCACTTGTGCACGGAATTTTCTTCCCCAGTCAGCAAGCAATATGGAAGCGATGGAAAAGCCCCTCGGAATGTGGCAAGCGAAAAATGTCAAGTTGGTGCAGAGAAAATGTCGACTTGGTTTCATGTTTGGCTTTGGTAAGACTGCTTCTTTCAGAAGTATGATAAACATGCTATTAACCAGGCCAGATTTCACATTCATGTAGTTTAAAGAGATCTAAGCTCAGCATCGTGTAAAACATCATCGTTACATGCAGTGGAGAACTTAGATGAAATGCGTGGCCTTTTCTTGCTTTGTTTCCTATGAGAAAGATAGCTGAGTACGTGATTCTCAAAGAATTTTAACTTCCTGTGTTTTACATAGACATTTATAATGGTTATGGAAAAAGTGGAAAAAACATGCCACCAGCAAATGCATGTTCAGAGGAAAATCTACCCCACTTCCAGTTGAAGTTTACCATTTTATTTTTATAACAGCTCCACAGAAAGCTAGGCTGAATTAAATTGATTTATGGGTCTATTTGAGATCAAAAAAATAAAAGCAGTTACGTTTGCAATTTTGTCAAACTGGAATCATTAAGATTTATTTTGTATCAATGAACAAAAATCTTGGTTCTGAACTCTCAACTCAGTTTGGGCCAACAGAATATTCTTTATGATCTAAAACTTAAGTGTAATATGAAATGAAATACTAGAAAGCTCATTATTTCATCAAATATACTCAATGTTCCTCTTTTTTGAAAATGAAAATAGATAATGTATTTCCCCATGAAGTACAAAAACTTTGCTGAAAAAAAATTAAAGGCTATAAAGATTATAAATATTAGGTAAGGTTTGTTTCTAGGCATATACATTCTTATTGCTTCAGAGAATTAGGAAAAATAATTTTTAAAACTAGGTGTAGTTATTCAAAATTAAAAATGATAAAATTACACTTCCCTGACTGCTAGTGAGGTGGAAAAATTTGAAAATCTTTATAATAACCGATTGTATTTATTTGTCTGGGAACTGATGGTATATATCCTTTGCTAAGTTTTCTGTTACTATGTTTGGGTCTTATTGATTTCTAGACACTCTTTGTATTTTAGTGATCTCAACTTTCTGTTATATATTACAAATCTTCTTCCCTGGTTTTTGGTTATGGCATTTTTGTTGCTTTTTGCGCATGCGCGCGCGCGCGCGCGCGTGTGTGTGTGTGTGTGTGTGACTATAGAATCCCACAGAAGTCAAGAAAATGCAGTGTGGTAGACTGCTTTATATCTGTGATAAAAGAATTTTAACTCTTGTCAGAAAGTTAAATCTGAAAATCAGTCAAATGCTGAAGTATAACCAGATTTCAGAAAGGCAAGAGTTGTCAGATTACAGTGCCATCACCCAGCCTCTTCCCATCTTCCAGATTATGTGGTCTTTCTTGTTTGGTTAGAGAAAGCTCTACTGTTCACTTGTTCATTTACACGTAGACTCTTTCTGGTGCTTCAAAATGGTACCGAAATGGACAGGATTTCCCAGTTAGGCTCTACTCTGCTAACTCCGGTTTGATCCCCCCCAAAAACTGAGACTTGGTAGCATTATATCAATAGAACTCATTTGGGTGGGAAGAGCATATAAACAGAGTTGAGCTGTAGTTGGAGGTGCCTCCCTTGCTGTGCTTCTTGAAAATATTCAGGAGCCTACAATGAGTTCGGAAAATCAAAAATTACCATCATTACATCTGTGTAGGAAAATTTATACTGAAATGTTTTCCTGAAGAGTAAAATGTTGGTTTCCTGATAACCCAAGGCAGGAAACAATTTAATTACTTAAAAATTTAATCTTTTAACTTGCGTGGGGGGATAGGTCATTACAGGGAACATGCTAGTAAAGTGACCAGAAAAGACAACTGAGTTTAATTAGAGGAGCTGAGGCAGTGAAATCACCTTGCCCTTTCAAAACCTCAGCTGTCTGTTAGTCTTTAACACTCCCATAGATGTGCTTAGAAAATTACAGCCTTGGTAAATTGCCTCCCTGTAAGATTTGAAGTTTTTAAAAATAATAGCAAGCTATTTAGTACATAATTCCATCTGAAAACTCTATATGTTATTCTATCATAATTACAAAAAAATTCATGGATTAAAACCCTTTTTCAAAAGTCTCTTTCAGAACTGACAATTTACGTATCATGATTCAGCCCAGTGCAATTTGAAATAGCTGAGTTATTAAATCTCCTTCTTCCTAAGTGGTTTTTGCCCTAATAAAAGGTGCAGGACCATCTCTGCAATTATTGTGTATGAAATAGGGCTAAACTTTTGATAATTTCTCAGTGCCACTGTTCATCACCGAAGTAATTAAGTCTATTCTTGTCCTGAAGGCTGAGCTTAAGCAGAATGTCTTCTGTGCCATCACATTAAATTCAGACCTATTAAATCAGTAGCTATTATAACATCTCAAGAGCAGTACCCCTCTACCTACCCCCATTCCCCTCAACAAAAAACAGGAAAAAGCTTGTAAGCCCAGCAGTTTTGATGGTTTGCTAAACTGTGGGAGTGAAAGCTATGTGTTGGGAACATCAGATCTTGTTTTAAATTTCAAAGATGTAGTATCCATACTTCTGGCTTCCTTCAAAATTCAAAAGGTGCATAATTTATAACCATCTGAGGGGGAAGTTCTAAGTGAAATTGTTCAGATTTGGATTGGATAAGGCACACTTACTAAAGGTAGCACAGGGGCTGAATTTTCTTTCTAAAAACTTGAGCTTTCTAATACTGTTCTATTTAATCAGTTAGTAATGTTTAAAATGAGAACCGTTTATCTTTAAAAAAAAAAAAATCAATTTAGTTCAGCCTCTTGATGTGTGTCAGAATGGTACACCCTGAGCTGTGGAGCCCCAGCTGCCAGGCCACTAAATGTATCCGAGCGTTGACGAGGGTTTCTAAAGAGCAGAGGAAACCTACCGCAAGGGGCAGTCCAGAACAGTCATGAGACATAACACAGATAAGGAGGACATAGAAGGAAGAAATGAAAATTAAAATATCCACACAAGTTAGTAAAAACCATGGAGAAATGACCTTTCCAGACCTAGGACTTTGCAAATTGATACTGTCCCTCTGCATTTTCAGCGTTCTCAAGCTTTCAGGAATCAAAAACGAAAACAAAACCTTTTTGTATAAATCTTACCTTGTATGAATACACTGATACTAGTTAGTTTGTTGTCATTATGGAATTCTAAAACTCTTTATTATAAAATTTTAATATAGAGACAGGTAGCTATGATCATTGGAATTTGAATTTCTGTCCATTCTTACATAGGTTGAAATGGTGAAAACCTACTGGCTGCCCCAGAGCCTATGTACCTTAAGAAATCATGTACCTTAAGAAATCATGTCTAAAATGCCTCTCACATCTGTTTGTTTTTTTTTTAATCGAAAAATTTTTTTGTTGTGTTTTTAAATGAGAGGCATAGACTGTGTTTGTTTTCCTCATGCTCACATCAATACAGTTTAAAATATTCTGAAAATGTAATCATTTAGGAATATTACTGAATTTCAAAACCTATGCTGTTTTAAAGTTGGATGATTGAATGGTCCCCATGGGATGCACATCTTAAAACTGTACAAGCTATTTTGTTTCTTCATCCGTCCTCTTCGTGAAACCATAGAACCCATCTTTAGCTACTACCACATGCCTTAAAAGTAGTATAAGCTACTATGCAACTGTTTACTGATGAGGCCTATTTTTGCTTGTCCAAATTATATTTTATTTTTTATACTTAATTGTTCATAAACTAAGATCTATAAAATCCTACATAGACAAGTAATCTTAAAATGATGAGATCTTTGTGAGTGGTTGAGATCGCAAATACTTTGTTATAATAGATCACTCACTATAAACTATCACTGAGTTCCTACAGTATTTCCTTATTTGACTCTTTTTTCTCTTCTCCTCACATCCAAAGGAATAGATGATCACTGAAAAATTAACCACCATCAGTTCTCTGTATGTAGTATTTTGAGATCTTGGTCATTTATCCAGGTTATTACAGGGGTAATAAATACCACTACTATACTATAAATCACAATCTTACATCATACAGAACAAATTCCACAAAGAAGAAAACAAATACCTTATGCTAGAAAAAAAAATGCTGTAGTTATAATTTAACATTATTTAGTGCTTTTAACTGTTAATTCTTGGATATGGGAAAATCACATTCGCATTATATTATGGGTACGAAAATGATAAGACCGTATTTTCAAATGGTTGCATAGATATATCTGAAATTCACATGCAGATTATTCAGTCCCTGTCCATCTAGCACATTGTTCCTACACCTAATCTCCCAATAAACTGTTGAAAGAAATCTGTCAAGTTCTGTTTGTAATTGAAAATGTTGAAATAAAGCAAGACATGTTTTCTACTACTAATTGTAGTTTTTAATGTAACAAATTAACTAAAGAGAAAAAGCCTTATTAGTTGTCTGTGATGGAATGTGGGCACACACACTTATGTGGCTGTGATTAGAGACTAAGAAGAATGAAAACCTTGTTGTTCTGAGCCCAGGACAAGTCTCTGAGCATGAGTGCAGGCACTGTCTACATCCTATGTCTCTGAAACCAAATGAAAGTTGAGTGAGGGAGAAGAGCCTTTTTAAAACCATTGTCATTAGACACTACAGTATCTTAGAAAAAAAGTATTTAAATATCAAGCCAGGGAGTAGGGTCGGTGCCCTGAATGGGTAGTTAACTAGGAAACTACGCAAATGTGCTAAAAATGCCCTCCTTAACTAAACTGTTCTTACGGAGATTTACCTATTTAAGAGTTCAAGTAATAGTACTTAATAATATTAGAAGAATTTACAAAAAAATTGTTAATATGTATTGCTATTTGAGAATAAATAAAACTTGAATTACTTGAAAGGAAACAAATAGAAACAAATTGAAAGTGTTCTTTCTATGAAAAAAACTCTACATTTACATTATTAAAATGAATTAAATGTTCTCTAAAGAACATTTAATTTAACATTTTCCACTATGAAAATGATTCAAAAATAATGAGGCATTTAATAATAACTATTAATAATAAACTTTATTCTGAACCAAATCATCCAGTTAATTTAATTAAAATAAACAATGATGTAAAGAACAACCGAATAGCTTCCTGAGGCTCTGGAACATAACCCAGCCGGATGGGTTCCATAACCTGTGTTGTGGTTTCACTGTCCCTAACTATCAAAACAAGGATTTTGCCTTAAAATTATGCACTGTTCTTGAGGACTAACTTGTAATTCTCTCTCTTCTAACTCACTGTTTAGGTCACTCTTCCTGAGCGCTGATTATCAAGGAGGTTAGGTCTATAGGAATGGTAATTTTCATCTACTGTGACAGAGGGCCACAAGTATGGGTGATTTAACAGTGAATATGAATAGTGGTAATGTGAGAAAGGTACCATGCCCAAAAGGGAAAGCTTTCAGATACTCTCCATTTTGTTTCTCTAACTCTAAATGCGGTTAAGAGTGGCTGAGCAGATGTAATCCAAATACTCAGACATCATTCCAGTCTGCTGGGCCTGTCAAGATGGCCCTGCCAGTCATCGATGCCCTTTTCTGGGTCAGATGCTTAGGAGTCTGGAAAACACTACCAAATGTTTTCATTGCACTTTGGGATGTTGACTAATGACGGAAAGGATCGCAAAGCATTTTTGACAACAGTGACATCTGTCCAGAAGTTGTTTACTTCTATACTTATCTGGTATAAAATAATAAGCCATTTATTAATATTTAATAAAATCATCAAAGAAGTAATATGGAATGAAGATATTACCTGATCTTTCATGGTCTTCCCTAAGTCTTTCACATCTTTCATGTTAATGGCATTCTTCCCTCCCTTCTCTTTTCCCTTCTTCTTGTTTTTCTTTTTGAACAAACATTTCTTACAGATACAAAAGCAGCAGGTCAGGACTAAAAGGACAGCGACTATGGCTATGGCAATTAAGGCCCACGGTGGCACTGAAAGAGAAAAAGATAGAAGGCATTAGTAACAAACATTGCGTGTGCAAAGTCTTTTAACCTAAGGGCTACAAAGGCATCCACTGGTTAATTCATATTTATTGAGCATTCCAGGCACCCTGTTCTGTGTCATAGTACCCACGTCTCCTCTGCCCAGATGGTGGTTTCTGTTTCCACTTCACCCCTGCACATAAGTCAAATATGCTTTCCTCCAAGCTATATGTCCATTCATCCATTCCTTCCTTCATCCAGAGCACAACTCTGGAGTTTGGCCTTGGAATTGAAATCCTGACTCTACCATTTATTAGCTCTATGACCTGGGCAAGTCCTCTCACCTCCCTCTGCCTCAGTATCCTTATCTCCAAAGTTGGAGGTAAACTGATCGGTATCATAGACTTCTTGAAGATTAAAATAGGATACATTTCCTGGCACATGGTAAAAGCTTAATAAATACTAGCTGCTATTACTCATCTATTAAATACTAGAGGCTCTATTGATATGTTCTGGGTATAATAGGAGGGACAGGCATCAATTGAATAACCAGAGAAAACAAATATCATAATGGTAATAAAGGTGAGGAAGAAGTACTTGGTGCTCTGAAAGTCACCAGGTCTAAAAGTAGGACATTTACCGTCCACAATAGCCAAACTATGGAAAGAGCCTAGATGTCCATCAAGAGGTGAATGGATAAAAAAGTGGTGCATATATATATATACTGGAATATTATGCGGCCATCAAAAAACTGAAATCGAACCATTTGCAATGATATGGATGGAGCTAAAGGGTATTATGCTAAGGGAAATAAGTCCATCAGAGAAAGATAATTATTATATGATTTCACTGATATGAGGAATTTGAGAAACAAGACAGGATCATAGGGGAAGGGTGGGAAAAACGAAACAAGATGAAACCAGAGAGGGAGACAAACCATGAGACTCTTAATCTCAGGAAACAAACAGAGGGTTGCTGGAGGGGAGGATGGTGGGAGGGATGAGGCGGCTGGGTGATGGACATTGGGTAGGGTATGTGCTATGGTGAGCTCTGTGAATTGTGTAAAATTGATGAATCACAGACCTGTACCCCTGAAACAAATAATACATCATATGTTAATTAAAAAAATAATAACCCCCCCGCCCCCAAAAGTATTACATTTACCTGCTCAAGGTCTGCAGGGGCAGGGCAGGGGTTATGTTCAGTGGCCCTGAAGCCAGGCTTTGGTTTGGGCTTGGCCACTTTCAGGCTGTGTGACTCTAGCTAGATTGCTTAACTGTTCTGAATTAGTTTCCTCCTTTATAAGGTGAAGATAATAGTGGTACCTCTTTCATTTCCTTTGAAAATTAAGGGAGTTAATATACTAAAAATCTTAGAATGGCATCCAGCACATAGCGGGAACTTGATGTTAGCTATTTATTTTCAAGGAATACAGCTAAGTATTATGGGTAATGTGGAACACTTAAAGTATATGGGAGGACATAAAACAGGCCCAATAATACATACATATTAAAAAAAACAGAAGTTCAGTTGATATGCTAGGGGAAATTGAGAGGTAGAGGTGATTTTTTTGATGAGAGGCTTCAGATTTAGTGTCTCTGTTTAAAACAATAAAGAATATATAAATAAATAAAAGCATTTTTCTGCTACAGTTGTCCATCTACTAAAAGTTATTATCTTTTCTTATTTGGTATATCCTATACCATGTGCATATATTATAAAAAAGCTCTAATGGAAATATTTAAGATTTCACTTTGGCCAGAAAGGAATTGTTCAACTGTTAAGACTGATCAGAAATAATTAGATTTGCCTGCTGTAATTAAGAAGAGACACTGGACACTGAAATGGTAAGAAAAAGTACTATTTTCTTCTACCTACGTAAACATTAGTACCAAGGATTGCTGAACACAAGGCAGGAATACTTTGATAAAGTAGAAGCACTAAACGTCTCCTCAAAACGAGAAAACCCACTCTTTGCTGTCCCTCTGTGTTCAGCTTTATAGTGTTGAACACTTACTATGCCTATTCTAACTTACGATTGGCTAATAAATGTAAGCCTAAAGATCTATAAAAGCACAACTTCTGAAATTGTGTTTTTAGCCAAAGAAATACCAGAAAGTAATATATAAGCCCACACCAAACCCCATGTTTTCTTAGGTTTCCTAATCTCATTAAACGATCATATTTTTAAAATGTAGATTAAATTTATTTAACCAATGATATCATTCATAACTCCTCATTTAAAACTTTCTACCTCTTGTGCTCTAGCTGAAACCCTGCCATGCGTGAACGAGAGAGTCTATGTATTCATTGCAGGCCAGACGATATTAATAATGACCCTTCATTTTGGACCTCGTAAATTACTCTTCCAGTCGGACTTGTGTGATAGTCTCTCAGAGAGCTACATAAAAGTCTCCTAAATTACACCGGACAAGACAGAGGTCATTTGACAACTTCACAAAAAGGAAATAGATAGTGAAAGCACAGGAACATTATTTAATCACAAGGAGTTAAAGACATAGGGGCATAGGATTACAGGAGGAAATCTTAAACAGTGCAACTTGAAGGTAAATTATAGCCACTGAGAAAATTTGGTGATTTTTATTTCTTAAACTGCTACCATATTCTAGGTTTGATCTCCTGAGTAGCTTAATTTCTAACTTCAACTATTCTCCATTGTATATATGAAACTCAAAGAATTTTCCTCACGATCTACTGGCATCTTCAGATAGAATTTAAAAATCTTAAGGTTATCCTTTTGTGTACCTCTACCATGGAAGTCTAACTGAATAGATATTTGGAATACAAACTTCCATTTTTAATTGAGTTATTTGAATTGAATTCTCATCTTACATTCTGTGGAGATCAAATACTTAGAATTTGATAAGTTGGCAAAGAAACACCATCTATAGAACTATTCATTCTTATTTATAGAAATGTTTCAATATGAGTGAAAAAAATCTCATATTTTCTATTAGGCTAAAAATTGATGGAAGACCTACTTAATATGGGCTAGCAGCTGCTACAGTTGTACATACATTATCTCATTTAATATTTATAGCAGTTTTGTTCATTATCCCTTCAATTTTATACAGGAAAGACTTTATACGGAGGAAAAACTATAGATCCAATAGTTTGAGAAATTCAAATATAGCTTTATATTATTAGGTTAAAAATATACATATTTTAAGTGGATACAAAGGAAAAAATCTTTAGCTTTGAAGCCTTTTTTTTTTTTAAAGATTTTATTTATTTATTTGACAGAGATCACAAGTAGGCAGAGAGGCAGGCAGAGAGAGAGAGAGAGAGAGAGGAGGAAGCAGGCTCCCTGCTGAGCAGAGAGCCCGACATGGGGCTCGATCCCAGGACCCTGGGATCACGACCCGAGCCGAAGGCAGAGGCTTTAACCCACTGAGCCACCCAGGCACCCCAGCTTTGAAGTCTTTTTAATAAAACATTTTATATTTAAAAACAGTAAAAATAAATAACAGCAAAAGATGCTGTTAAGTGATTTCCATAATATAAAGTACGGCTTCAATAAAAAAAATGGGCTCATCAAAATATTGCTATTGGCAGAAAACTATTAGCTTATTGTTATTGCCACCCAACTATCACTAAATGGAAATTTTAATAACAAGAATTTTAACATTTAACTTAAAGACCTTTCAGCAGAGAATAATAGATTAGTGTAAAAGCTTTCCATTAAAAATGTTATTTTCATTTTTCAGTTAATAAATTAATCTCACATTGTTTAACCCAAAGGTAAACTGATGCATAAAAATTAATCAAAGTCCATGCTAACTAGCTTCTAATGTTTTAATGTAGACTTTGTGGTAGGCAGAATTTGGATTCCTCTGAATGTTCACATGCTGTCCCCTTGGACCCATGAATATGTTACCTTACATGGCAAAAAGGACTTGGCAAATGTGATTTAGGATCTTGAGAATGGGGAGGTTGTCCTGGGTTATATCCAGATAGAACTGTGCAATTACTAGAGTCCTTAAAAGTGAAAAACACAGGCAGGAGTTTCAGAATTAGAGATTTGAAGATTCTATGCTGCTGATTTTGAACATGGAGGAAAGAACCATGAACCAAGGAATGTAACTGTGTTTAGAAGCTGGAAAAGGCAAGGAAATGGATTTTCCCCTACAGTTTTGTGAGGGCATCAGTTTGTATAGCCATTATGGAAAAGACCATGGAGGTTCTTCAAAAAATTAAAAATAGAACTACCATATAATCCAGCAATCTCATTCTGGGTATATACCCCAGGGAAACAAATAAACCAACAAAATTACTATCTGCAGTGGTATATTCACCCCTATGTTCACTGCAGTATTATTCATAAAAGTCAAGATAAAGAAACAACCTAAGTGTCTATGAATGGTTCAAGGGATAAAGAAAATGTAGTATATATACACAATTGGAATATTATTCAGTCATAAAAAAGAAGGAAAAAAAGAAGGAAATCCTGCGATTTGTGACAACAAGGATGATGTTTTCCTGTGGCCAAACACAAACAATATTGTCTGTAGTATGAGAACATCTTGATCACATATTCCTTTTTGAAATTTCCTTCTGTTGCTGTTCCTACTGCCCTTGCCAGCATCGTCTTCAATGGGTCTGACATTTTCCCTCTTTCCTTTCCCATTCCCAAGTCTTTAAATGAATTTGTTATTCAAAGTTCTCAGTCACTTGTTCGTTTTCACATTAACTCACTATTGAATGGCTTCTTTCCTATGCCTTAAACTTTGACATCAGTTATCCATTCTGTCCCCTCTTATACACACTGGGACTGTATCTCCCACTACCTACAGAATGTTTTCTATGAATCCGTCATCTCAAACCTGTTCACCAAACCAGCTCTATGGTCCCTCTTAGTGCTTCAACGATTGCCTGCTTGTTGTATCTTGGAACCACATGGAAAATTTTCTCCCAAGCCTGATTGAGGATCAAGTCATGCCATTTCTTCTTCCATATGTTTTCTGCTTCCTTCACATATATTTCTACTT